AGATAGTTGGGTTGTGGCCAGGCAACGTTCACACCAAGTCAAGGAGTTTTTGGCTTCTCATCCCCAGCAAGGGGCTGGAGGTGCACAAGAAGCTGGGAAGGGGACACAGCCAGGGCAGCTGACCCCAACTGGCCAAAGGGATATTCCAGACCATATGATGTCATGCTTGGTATATAACTGGTGGGAAACTGGCTGGGAGTTTAGACCACAGCTCGGGAACTAGCTGGGCATCAGTGGTCTGCGGGTGTTGAGCAGTTGTGCTATGCATCACTTGTTTTGTATATTCTTTTAGTATTTTTTCTCTTCCTTTTCTCTTCTATTAAACTGTCTTTATCTCAACCCACCAGTTTTACTTCTTCCCGCCTCCCCAATTCTCTCCCTATCCCACTGATCCCACTGCGGGAGGGGAGTGAGTGTAGGGCTGTGTGGTCGCTTTAGCTGCCTGCTGGGTTAAACCACAACAGAGATGTAAATTTTGGCCAGACACTGGGGTTCAATTTTGTTTCCAAAACATCTGGGTACTTTACATTCCATCTTTGAAAGTGGCATAGAACCTGGGGAGCCACAGCCTCACTAAGATGAATGTGACTTGGCTTCTGGTGCAGACATCACTTTTGGATGCTTGGGTCCCTCAGACAAGCCACGTTTCCTCTGTCCATGTCTGCCTTTGCACAGCATCAAGCACAATACCGATGTAGTTTAGAGCTCCCGCGTGTTACGCCAACACAAGTAGATCATATTCCTCCAGACACAGTACTATTTGTGTAAGAACATTATATTTTCAGTCTCCAAAATGCAGTAGCTTGCTTATCCACTGCTTTTGCTTCCATGGGGGAGTGTGGTGTGGTAGTGGTGATTTAAAGTACTACCTAGGGTTGGTCTGCCTTCCAGAGATCCATGCTGTTGCTGGTGAAGGCAACACATAAGATACATTAGTTTGTAAGATGAAGTAGACATAGACAGTTTAGAGATGATTTTCTGTTACGCCCACTACAGGGTGGCACTTTCTCACAGTGTGACACTTGTGATCTTCACCGTGGCAGCATTATACTCAGAGCATCTCTGCATCCAGGTGATGATCCCTTCCCTCTCAGAGGGGGGGCTGTGGGAGAGCAGAAGCATCCTATGGGAACCTGCTAGATGTGAAAGGCTGCTTGTAAGACGAGGATTTTGTTATGCTAGTGGAAGTTGAAATTTGCTGAACATAAGAGGACATTGTGTGTAAATCATGTTGGAAGTGTACAGAGAAAACAAAACATTTCCTCAGGTGTTTACGACATGTTTCTAAGCAGGCACGTTGGCTTGTGGTGACTAGATTTATTTTTAAGTCTTGGCTTGATATTGGCAAAATTTTTCAAGATTTCTTTAATTAGTGGTAATAGTGCACATGGATTCTTCATGCTATGTGCTAATTTAAAAAATAAAAAAACCCTTGAACTCTTGAGAATAAGTCAAGGCAGCCAAACATAGTCTAAGTGAAATACTATGATTAAAAAATAATAGTAAAAGAAATCATTTCAGTCAACAGAAAGCATGTAACTGCTACTGAATAAAGTTTGGGATCTGACTAATAAACGTTATATAAAATGTAAATAAAATATTTAGGTTTCAGTTATTTAGTTTTGAGTAATTTTTTTCTGGACTTTCCAAAACAGATTTTCAACTTTAACTCTCCCATTTAATTTTATTTGTATTTTTTTTTCTCCTGTCTTACTGTTATATTATTTTTTCTTTGTGTTCTGTCACACACAACATCTGAAATCTGCAGTTACCTGGTATAAAATGGGAGTTAAACACAATTGTAAACCAAATCTCAAGCCATGTGAGAAGGGTGAGGCCATGACAGTAAATAGTAACAATAGTAAAAACAATTGTGTTGAAGCTCTGAATCTGTAATGTTTTAGTGTGTTCACTTGTAAAAATGTGTGTTGGTAAGAGTTGGGATCACACTTATGATCATTTTAAAGGTAAATTATTTTTAGCATTTTTATCAAGGCTGGTCCAAAGCCTGTTAAAATCAAAGGGAAAGAAGTATCTATGTGGATTGGACCCCTGGTGCTTTTATTGCAGAGGTGTGTGTTGTTTTTTTATTTTTTTTACCTTTTTAAAAATGTGCTTCTGCCATTTGGAATTTGTTCAAGGTGTCTTGTTGAATTAATTTTGGGCTAACTGCAGTGCTAGTCAGGTGCCACCCACTTTCTGCTGCCCCGGGGAAGGTAAGAAGCCAGGGCAAGCGGCAGAAGGTGCGTGCGGCGGCTGACGGGGCAGCAAGGCACCGGACTGGCAGCGGCCGGAGCAGAGGAGCCTGGAGCCACGGCTCTGCCAGCGGCAGGTGACGTGGGAGTCAGCCAAGTAGCACCCATTTAGCATGTCCCAGCTGCGTGGGCCTGAGGCGGTAGTACACAGCCCTGTTTCTGCACAGCCCAGGCAGGTTCCCGCACCCCTGCAGAGGCCCATTTAATTTAATGGGGCTCCAGGTGGCAACAGAGCTCTGCGCAAGTATATCTATCACGGGGCTGCTGTAGACTGTTTGATACCATTGAGTGTGTCCCTTTTTCAGGGATGTTTAATACACATCTGCAGTTTTGGAAAAATGTAAATCTATAAAATGAGCCAAAATCTACTTGTAAATAAAAGCGTAAAACTTGGCATTACTGCAAGTCACTGGCTACTAGATTGAAGGTTGGGATCTGACTCATTTTAATAAAGATCTAGGGCTTGAAGGCAAATGCTTAGAGGAAACAAAATGTTGTTACCTCAGTTTCCTCACTGAAATCCACTCGCATAGCGTAGTTCAGTTAGTGTTCCCGAAGCATTTGAAGATAACCCTCTTGACCTGAAGAAGGGAGAGTGTCATGGAGAAAGCCATAGTTAATGACCTGGGTAGGCTAATTACAACATGTGTTTGAGGTTCCCTGCTCTCTCTCTGACCCCCGTTATCCTTCCTAAGTGCTCTTCAGCTCTTTAGCAAAGCCTCTTTGTCCCTCTTCAAGTGTCTTGCCCCCTTTTCCTTCTCTTTGGTCATCTTCAAAAGATACTGCTGCAGGAGTGTGAGACTGGTGGGCTTTGGGAGACATAAGCAGGTGGAAGGAGTCTGTGAGGAGTAAATAGGAAATTTAGACTTAAATATCAGTGAGAGAAGTAAATGGTAAGGACAGAGAGGTGAAAGAGGATATTGATGTCTATAGGATGATAAAGTAAAAAATATTGCTGGATCTAGACCCATCCTCAACTGTTGCTCATTGCAGGTCTCACATCTCCACCCTGCTGTCTTGTCCCTGCCAGCTGCTTTCAGAAACGGTTTGTGTGGAGGCAGAGGGAGGGTTAGTGCATACAGCAAAAAACCAACAGAGGGATTCCTGAGGTAGAACAGAGGCTCCACCTATCCCTCTGTCCTAAATCTTAATTCAGAGTGGGAGTGTGTAATTGAGGAGTTGACATTGTGGCCAAGGGAGGGGGCAGCTGTGTGAACTGAGCATCTCATTCTGAAAAGAGGATGAAGTCAGATCAAACTCTGTGGTGACAGATGGCCCACATCAGAAACCAGATGGCCCAGTGAGTCCCACCATTCCTGATATGAAATAGCAAGCGGAGGAGAAGGCCACAGTGTAGACCAAAATATTGTTACACTCTTATGTAAGGGCTACTCATGGTTTGTAAATGATGATACACCTAGAAATCCAGTCTGTGAAGGCCAATTCATAAAGCAGCATGAGCTGCTTGCAGGAGGGGTGACAGATCTGAGACCCAACTTACTTTTACAAATACGTCTACATGTGGCTCATAAGCTAACATGCCTCAGTGGCCTTCAGGCCAGGCTGCCTTACAGGCTGTGCGGAGGTACCTCGTAAGATGCTGACGCTCAGTTAAGGTCTTACCTAATTGATAGTATCCATGGATGATCATTGCAGCTGCCTCAGAGTGTGCAATTATGAGTAATTGTCTGCTCGTTTACAAACATGTGTAGTCTCCCTTATCTCAAACAATCTTTTTTCTGTGGTGGTCCACCTCATGGACCTGAGCACTGCAATCTAGAAGTTGCTCTAAACCTGCAGCAAGGCAGTATGGGTGCCCGCTGGTCCAGGCACCCCTGCTGTGGCTGATTGCCCTTCTGATTTGTGGCATGTGTAATTGCTGTAATATCAATATTAACCTATCTGTTTTGCAACTCTTATTATGTCTGCACTTGGGAATTCTTGCCTCTTCCTTTCTTAGAAGCAATAAGAACCATCCAAGACTCGGAAAACTTAAAACATGAACTGAGAATGACGTGAGGGAAAGCAGATTTATAGCTAAAATGTCCCACTAATCCAAACCCCATCTGTTTGGTACCCTGTCCTGGGAACAGATTTCAAAGTGGTTCTGAAATGCTAATCTAGTACTGAAATTCTGATCTACTGTTAACGTCAAGTTTATTAAGAGATGTTTTGTACATATGTGAATACATGAAAACTTGCTGGGAGGGATTTGTGTGTTTTGTATGCAGGGTGTGTATTTTTCAAATTAAAAGCTTAAAGTTCTGTTGATGATGAGGGCAATACAGTATCCCAACATATAAGTACGAGCACCATCCAACAGTGCATTAAGCAATGCCACTAACTTGTCAGCAAATTAAATATAAAGCCAAGACAATTCAGACCAAATAGCTTTGGCGGGCACTTAGATCAAATGGAGAGATGTTTTCCTTTTCTCATTAAACCTGGCACAATAAGGATAGTGATTGATAGCTGTTAAAAGCACTAAAGCTCAAAAGCATTAGTCAGCTTGTTTCTCAGGAGAGACTGTACTTGAGAGGAAACTAGGATTTGTAATTCCTGTGTCTTGTCTGCATGGAAGCGTGTGCCAAGGGCTCCTTTTGAGTCCGGGAGCTCTGAGCCCAGCGTGCATCTTCCGTATCTCTCTTCTCAGACGCTGAATGCATTTGAAATATGATGCTATTATTTCTGATGCACCCATATTAAATGTACAAAAATCAAATGTCCCTAATTAAAAATTTGTAGGTCTGGTTTAGTAACCGTCGCGCTAGATGGAGGAAACAGGCAGGAGCCAATCAACTGATGGCTTTCAACCATCTGATCCCAGGAGGATTTCCACCCAGTGCCATGCCAACTTTGCCGACGTACCAGCTCTCTGAGCCCTCCTATCAACCCACCTCCATACCGCAAGGTACGGTAGCCAACAGGTACTTGGTTAAAATAGTGTTATTGGGGGTTTCCTGTGTTGAACCATCATAGAAACATTTTCTGCTCTAAAAGGCGTATTTGCTAATTTAGAGTCTGGGTCAGTGAGGACCTTGCAAGCCTGGTTATTTTAAGCACGTAAGAACTCAGGTTTGTTTTGCTGCAAGAAAGGGCTGGTTATGCGTGAAGGGTGCTAGCTAGAGGAACAGCAGCACAACAGAGGTGCAGTGTTTGGTAAAGTGATGTACACACTTCCCTACCCTTCCGCTGCGCTGGCCGCCTCCGCTGCGAGTGCCTGGCATGGCGGGGAAGGACACGGCAGTTGCATTCTGTCCTCTTTGTTGCTTTTGATGACGGTGCGTTGGAAACTTCTGTGAGTACTCAGAATATTTATCTGATGGTGGAAAAAACCAGCTCTTTGGACCATCTTGTTTCACATCAGGTAGTAGCAAGTCTCAGTAGGGTAAAAATTTGCATTAACCTTATCGGAAATTATGTGAACTTTGATGGATTTGGGGGCGGGGTGGCGGGGAAACAGAGCTTCAAATCTAGGCTTTGCTAGATTTTACTGTTAAAGAAAAACTTTACAGGTGAGTTTTTGTGGGGAAACATTGCTGTGTTCTCCTTGCTCCCTCCTTGAGATTTGGATCCTAATTGTTGGTGGATGTTTTTACCAGGCCATGTTCTAATTAAAGGAATTTTGTAAAGCTCAGGGCTTCTCCCATCCGTTGCTAGGTTTACTACAAATCACAGCAGAATTTCTGTGCTGTGACCAGGAAGGGAAAGTCTGTTACCAGTCTTCTGAGCAAATAAGGCTTTTCCTTTTTGTAATATATTTTTATATATATAAAACCCATAAAAAGTATATTATATC